TCGAAAGCAGCACATCCACTGCAAATATTTCTGTTTAAATTCATATACAAATGTTGTAATTTCTGGATAATCATTTCATGAAATTTCAGTGCTTAACTTCATTATTCAGAGTGTCATATTTAATCTAAATGTGTATGTCAAATGTTTGCTTCCTTATTTCGCTCACTCCAGTAAAAGAGTGCATATGCATGGTCTAGAGCAGGGTTCCTCAAATCTTGCCCTGGAGGGCCAATGCACTGCAGAGTTTAGCTCCAACCCTGATCAAACTCACCTACCTGTGATTTTCTAATGATCCTGAAGACATTGATTAGCATGCTCAGGTGTGTTTGATTAGGGTTAGAGCTAAACTCTGCAGCAAAGTGGATCTCGTGGGCCAGATTTGAGGATCCCTGGTCTAGAGTGTCCGTACGGTGCGCACATATTTACGCCTAGTTTATTTTTTATAAATCCCGATATGTTTGTGGAAAATTGCGTACGCACATTTACATGCCCATTTTGTGTGAACGCAACGTTTATACATCAGGCCCCTGGTGTAGATAAACTAGTCCCGAGTAACATTAGCTCTTTACCTCAAAATAGCATTTTAAAGGACAGTGTTTTAAAACCATAGTTCTACACAACTGACAATTGACATTTGTCCAAATAATGGGACTGTAGGCCAGTTGAAGCTCTTGAACCATTTACTGAATGACTGTGACCAACTTCCACAGATGAATAGTTTTTTACAATGGATATTGCAGGGGAAAACATTCTGAAGAGGTTTGTTCATTTGAAATGATGTTGCACAAAGGAAGCTTTGGTATAGCCTGTCCAGTGATATCATCTGTGTTTTTTTAGTAGTAGCCACTATATTGTAGTTGCTGATTGATTGAATACACTGATTCATAAAGGTTTTCCTCTAATCTTCGCTTTTTTGAAACCTTATGACTGATTGAGTTGACTTCATTTGGTTTATATTGTAGTTCCTTGTTTGTGGTCTCAGACTGCTGCAATTATTAAGTCATGTGCTCAGTATTAGCGAAAGTGCTTGCAATAGAGGAGTTTTAGAGATTTATCAAATGTTGGCATGGTTTTCTATGTAGCAGCCCAGGGAAAGTTTTATTTCTCTAGCATAGCTCAGGAGAGTTAATTTAGTTTGCTTGTGCTTCATTTAAGACTCAGATTGTCCAGTTTGTACATGTGGGTAAATAGAATTTTTGTGTTTGACTTTAGCATTTAAAATGTTGAGTGTCTAAAAAAGCCTATTCTCTGGCTGCCAGTCCTGGTGAGTTTCACAGTCAAAGTCTAGTTTAGACTTAGTTCAGTCACTGTGCAGTAATTGTCTGCTTCCTTCCTTTTGCTGTATTGTGTTATGAGGATGTTGAGACGTCACCTCTGCCCCCTGTGCTGTTTCACGCCTCCAGAAGACTCGTATTTGGCAGTGAATCAGGATGAGAGTGCATTCTGGCAGGTTTGGGAGTAACGGTACACCGTGTTATGTTCCTTCATGTCTGTTAGAAGAAATTCAGACCTCACAATAAGAGCCATAAACAAATCTAAATGACTACAAGATACCAAATCACAATAGTGACCGATATAAAATACATACTCAGATATGGAAGACACCATATATAGAGTATGTGTGTGTATGTCTCTTATGTCTTATGCTCACCAAGGCTGTAAAAACACTAATATTGTGAAATATTACAATGTAAAACAACAATAATTTAAAATGTCTTTTATAAAATGTAATTTATTCCTGTGATGCAATTTTCAACATCATTACTCCTTCTTTAGTGTCACATGATCCTTCAGAAATCATATATATATATATATATATAGTTTTTTTTTTTGAGCAACACCCATGTTATATATTTTTAAATATAGACTAAATGGGTCTTTAATCATGAAAATGTATAGCTGTCATTACGTTTCAGAAAAGACTGACAATTCTGTCATAGAGACTTTAAGTGATTTTACCTTTCAGGACACTGCAGAAACCACATAGCATTGTCCTAGAATGCACCCTGGCATCATGGTTGTAAATTTTGCATAATACAAAAATCTACTATTTTAGCCCTCATTAGACACCCAGATTCTTGTTTCTCTCTGAACGTGACACCTTAAGTGGCTGTTGAAAATGGTTGGATATGGCTGCTATTCCTGTTTTGACTACGCACATATTTGCAATGCATTTCGCGGGGATATTTTTCTGGGATAGCAGTGATTCAGCTGTTTTTGTGGCAAACATTTACACTGGGAGATAGTGAAGAGAGAGGTGGAGGCCCGAGATAAAAGATGCACGTCAGCACGGCAAAATAAATCTCAGCTTTTTAAGAGCCGAAGAGAAAGAAGGAATTATCAGCCTGTGTGTGTGTTTAACACGTGAACTGTGGGTGACTGTGCATGTGGACAGTCAGGGCAAGAGATGCTCAGGTTCCTAATGGCCACACACACACACACACATTTGCAGTATCTCTGGGTAAAGCTCATGCGCCTGGAGGAGCATTTGAAGCGCTGAGCCACACCGCTGCCTCTGATTGGCCGGGGGAGGATGCAAGAAAGGGAGCCAGGCTCCGCCTCCTCCCCCCTCCTGTGCGTGTTAGAAAGGAGATAGCTTAAGGAGAGCCGACAGCTTCACTGCGCTGAACGCACACTAATGCTGCATACTCCAGGGAGATCAGTCGATGCAGAACAATCTCCAGCTGAAGAACCCAAAACAAACTCAGACTTTAAATGTTGTTTAAGAGCGCTCTGCACTCTGAGTTCAGCCCATCATCCACAGTCTCAGCATCACAGCATCCTCTCCGATCGGCCCGGCTGTAAACATGGGCAGGCAAAGCCACGATGCTACGTCCACCACGGGCACGGGTGCAGGCAGCACCGGCGGCCGCATGCAGCGCTCCCAGAGCCGCATGAGTCTGTCGGCTTCCTTCGAAGCGCTGGCTGTCTACTTCCCCTGCATGAACTCTTTTGATGAGGAGGATGGAGGTAAGATGTGTCACGCATGGAGAGGTCCAAATGAGCATCTTGCATGTCAAAGTTCATGCGTTTTGCAGGATATATTGGTGTTATAGAGCATACCAACTGTTTTTAATTCATATTTGATTAGGTTTGTGGTCATTTATGGTTTCTGGTGGAGTTTGCATAAGTAATAGGCAGAATTGTGCATGGCTGTCTGTAAAATATTTATTTATGTGCATAAATTGCTGTGACAGTTTTATAGCACTTAATAATTGTGCAGTGCGTTTTGATGGTTTATCAAGCATCATTGGGACCTTGAAGGTGTTTGATTTCCTTTCTCTACAGCATCTCTCTCTCTTTCTCCCCATTCAGTCGCTCTAGAGATTAATATCATTGGAAATATCATGTGACTTTTCATATCTTGCAGAACAAATACCTTTTGTGTGATGTGTAGGTGCAACCAGATTTTAGTTAATACATTAATATATTCATCATTGAATGAATCTCAGGAGAACATGTTCAGGTCACATTTCACCCCAAAATCTTTAAATAAATAAATAAATAAATACTGTAATAGAGTGTTTTTTTTTTTTATCTGCATAAATTAAAGGCAGTACAGCATGAATACTATCATGATGTATAAATACTTTACAAATTAATATATGATTATTTAAATTTATTAATACATTTATTTATTTAAAATGACCATTTTGAGGGGAAAATGTGCTTAATTGTCATGAAGATTGTGTCACTTAATTTAATAGAGATGTTTAAAGACATGATCAGAAAACACGGCTTAATAAATTGACAGCCTAAATTCTAAATTTAAATTCTGTCATTATTTGCTCACCCTCGTGTTGTTTCAAACCTGTATGACTGACTAACTTCTGTGGAACACAAATGAAGATATTTTGAAGAATATTGGTAAAAAACTGATTTTGTTCCCACTGACTTCTATTATATGGACAAAAAGTACAATGCAAGTCAATGGGAACCGAAACTCTTTGGTTGCCAACATTCTTCAAAATATCTTCTTTTGTGTTCTGCATAAAAAAGAAGGTCATACAGGTTTGGAACGACGACATGAGGGTGAGTAAATGACAGAATCATTTAATTTTTGGGTGGACTATCGCTTTCAGGTTAGTTTGAATTGCGTCCTCTGACATTGGGCATCATTGTTTCTCAGGTTTACTGTATCTCGGTCAAGTTCAACAAGAGCACAACCGTGTTTTTGATTGTTATATACGACTGTGCAGTTAGTACAGAAAAGGACAGTCACATCCGGCGCTATGTTCGTCATCCTCTTGTGTTCAGCTACGTCTCAGGGCCGAAAGCAGAGGCGGATGACATTGAATGAAAAGAAAATCAAGCCTGCCGTGTGTGACCTGCGATTGAATGGTTTAATTTCAGCAGCTCAGCCATGTCTGCTTCCGGTAGCCTTCCTTCTCTCTCCTATCTATTGAAATTTGGTTTTTCATTATGGGCAGCCCTATTATTTTTCAGACATGGTCATGTCATGCCTAATTCTGGTTCAGTGCACCTGCATAACCCGTCATGTCAAATCACCCTACATCTAATGGACACTATGGCATGTCTGTAGGCCAGATATAGATGCAGTGCATCTAAAACAAGAAATTGTTGAATTCGTTCCATCCTGTGGGAGCAGAACCCCACGTGTGTCTGGACCTTCATATCACACCGTCTCGATCAACAGCACATCAGCTCTCACATCTGAGCCACGTGTGAGGCTTTGGTTTCGTGTTGGGCGATGTGCAGAAACGTGTCCTTCATCACTCTGCCTGAGACGTCTTGATATCCTGACTGACAAACTGTCTCTGTCTCTGTAGAAGCAGGAGGAAAGAAGCTGCGCAGCACTATCCAGAGGAGCACGGAGACGGGACTGGCTGTAGAGATGAGAAGCAGGATGACCAGGCAGGCCAGCCGCGAATCCACTGATGGCAGCATGAACAGCTACAGCTCAGAGGGAAAGTAAGTAACAAAACACGTGCAAATAGAACCCTGCTGACAAATAT